AATTTTTTTTTTGAAGTTTTCAAATTTTGACCCGGCCGGGTTATGAAAACCAATTAATTAATTTTGCATGGCCTTATTATAGTTTTTTTTATTTAATAATAATTTCATTGATAATAAATTCAATAGAAATTTTTGTTAAGTCTTTAAAATTTCGTCCAATATTGGACGATTGTCAGGATCTGGTGTGGCGGAGGATCGATAATTATCTTTTTTATTTTTTTTTTAGCATTAGTTTCCTTTTTTGTTTATCGTTCTTAAAAATAACGATGGATAAATATTTTGAAAGAAGTATAGCAAAAGAGGTGTTTGAAATATAAGTAGAGAAAGAATAATTACATATATTAGAAAGGTTAATTTTGAAGCGGAACGACCAGTATATAAGAACCCGAATTTTCACTTAATAAAGTTCCTCAGACTTCAACGTCTTTAGCAAAGTGATATGTAAGAAAAATTGTCATTACTGAATAATAATTCTAATTCTTATTAAAACAAGTTTAACTTCAATGTTTATTTGAGTTGGAGGGTATATTTCAAGAGTTATACATGAGTACCAGTATACAAATCCATTGTCTATTAATGTTAAATCAAACTTAAAATCTCGTATCATAAAATAAACCCCCCTCCCCAAAAAAAATAAAATAAAAGGAAATAAAAAATTAAATTCTGTTTATTAAATAGGCCATACAAAAATAATTTTTAGTTCTCATAACATTAATGACCCGGCAACCCGACTTTTAATTTCATTTTCAAAAAATTTTATATATAAAAAACATATAAAATTTTTTATTGACATCTAAAAAAAACCACCCGGATAGTAAATATACTCAAAATTTTGCAAAATTTGACCCGGTGGGTTACAAGAGCCAATTATCCACTACCATATAAATATTACCACCTTCGATGGAAACTTCTAATTGTATAATTAGACATTTCAAAACTGCAAGGATAATTTCTTCGACAAAAAAAAAAGTTGTTAAAATTGTAGAGGATTGTTGAAGATTATGAACCTACTTCAGATGTTTTTTAGCTTTATAAATAACAATATCATTATTAAAACAAACCAAAATTAAATTCATCATTCATTAATAAAAATTATACTGGATTCATAAAATTCAATGACTTTTTGAGGACATCGACTGTAAGCATCATCAGCCCAATGGACTGTTTCTTGTCCGTTAATCCTAAAAGAAAGAATAATACATTTAAAAAAATAGCTTAAAAATAGAAATAACAAATATATTATAAAGAATGTAAATACCATTTCAAAACGATAACCAAAATTTCAAATTTACAGTCTTTTAGGATGTATACAACATGTTCCAAATATGTATCCCAACTATTATATTCAACTTGAATGCCCATTTCTTTACATTTGTTTTCATTATTCCACGATTTTGAACTGGCAAATTTTTTTTGTGTTACCGTCTTTTATCACTGTGCTATTTTCAAACGTCGAAAATCGACCATTAATCCGGGTTGTCTAATACTAACGACGTAGGAATTTATTTGTAAATTATCAACCTCTTAAAATTTTTTTTTTATTTTGATTAATATTAATGTCAATTAAAATATATTACCTTTAGGACTTTCACTGTCAGATATACCAGATTCTATCTTCATATCGTTAATGTCAGAATTATCAACATTCTCAGAAGAGTTTGGTGCCCCATATGCAAACGCTTTATATTCGTTGATCGTCGACTGTTCATTAGGCCTCCGCATGGGCCGGGTAGAGCCGGGTAATGGCAATACCCTAGCCCTACCCGTCTGTGTAAGGGCTTGACTTCTGAGCCCTTACCCTACCCTAGGGCTCAAATTTTGATGCCCTAGCCCGGCCCGCAAAACCCGCGGGTACCCACGGGCTTATTATTATTATTAGGAAGACTGTCCGAAATTAGATCAGCTAAAGTAGAGCGAGTTTTAAATTCATAGTCTGCCAGGCGACTGGATGCCCAGTTACTTAATTCATACGATTGGCTGATTTTTGTCGGCTCAGATTTAGTATAACACTCGTTCAACCAAAATAAAAACTCCCAATTGCCAGTTTTTAATTTAGTATATCAAATATCATTCATTCAATCATGTGTTTAGCTCATAATTATAAGTTGAGATCCTTTCATATAATCATCAATCTCATTAATCTCTCTATTTATATCTATCCATTCTTGAATTTATGTCTAAATTATATATCAAACACCATACTTTATCTTCGTTACAATGCATACATTTACTATAATTATAGGGCTTTATATTTCATTTTATTTATATTCATTTTTTAATTCAACTAATTAACGCGAATAAATGTAAATTAATAGATTTATTAGTTTGTTTAGATACTGAAATTAATAAATGTTCATTATATTTACAGATTATATTGCGCGAATAAAATGAATAAATAGTAATTTTCATTAAATTAATAAATGAATTATTTTAAATACTTAATAATTGTTCTTTACATTCATGATCTAAATTATAAATGATAATTATTCACATAAAAATTAGCCAATTATATGAACTGAAATTCACATGAAACATAAATAATGGGTGGTGGTAGAATTAATTTATATGGTAGAATGCCGTAATGCCGTAATTCAGTAATTCTACCACCAACTATAGGTAGCGGTACTACCCAAGCCCTACCCGTGCTTTGTTTTTCGAGCCCTTACCCTTACCCTAGGGCTTGGGATTTGATACCCTAACTCGGCCCTTGTGGGCCTACCCGCGGTTACCCATGGGTAGCCAGGCCCATGCGGAGGCCTATCTTGATGGTTACCAACCCATCAAACAATGACAACCCATTGGGTATCTCTCACTGGTTTGATTACAAACATAGTACTATTAGATTTTCCGAGTTCACTAATTCTTATAAAATTATTATAAAAAGTGATATCATTCAAATTTTTATTTCCCTAAAGTATTTTGTATTTTTCGAATTCTGTAAATTGGTTATGCTTTTATGAAGCATATATTCAAAAAGTAACATTATACATATTATAAATAAATAATTAGAATGATTAAGATCTTATACTTAGCTTATATGGAATATTATAATAATCAGTAACCATAAAATCCTAACCATTATCTGCTGATTATAATTCTTTTTAACGTAGTCATTTTACTAATTAAACTAGTTCTTCAAGTTCAAATTCATTAGAAATAATTAAAAGATCAAAGATTGTAGATGCATAATTTTATCAACCCTATAAAAAAAGGTCGTTCTGTTTTTGTTAGTATAAAAATATGAAGCTGTCATGTGATTTTAGTAAAGTATGTAATTTTTGTTTCAAAATTAATTTAATTCCTTATTTTGTATTTTAATAGTATACTTATTGTCACGAAAATGTTGTCGTTTTCTATTATT